TCTCATTTGTAGCCAGTCATGCAGGAATCACTGAAATCATCCTCCAAATATCAATCTAAGACACCACTGCATGGCAGGTAAATATTTACCTTGAAACACCAAGAAATCCTGACACAGTTGTTTTTAAGTTGCTGTGCTTTTCATGAACCAACTGCGAACAAGCCAAGTTGCTGACATAATCAGACATATTAATACCATATTAATACCATGTACAACTTGTCAATTGCAGCATTATGAGAACATAATTCATATTTAAGATATATATAACAAAAAATTGTGTGATAATTTTTGTCTTAGTTTTCTAATGAGTGATATATTGATGTTGCTAATGTTTAAATTCATCTCAAAATGACTGTCTACTGCCCTCTATGGCTGACATGGAACACTAGATGGCGCTGTTTGCTTTGCTTCACTCAAAAGTATTCTGTCCATTTCTGTTGTATTTTAATACAGTAGAATACTTTATTTTCACTTGGAATTAATTTTCGCTAAAGGAATGATTCAGTGAAAATAAAATGTGAATATACCTTTTCTCCTATATTTGACATTCAACTTATCAAAAATCAGTGAAAATAAATTCCATACAAAACATCCAAAATGTATTTTCAGCAAAAATTAATTCTAGCTAAAATAAAGTATTTTACCGTAATCTGGAATTTGCAAATATAGACAACATAGTTTCAGAAAGTGTCATTGCACACAAGTGGAACAGTGAATGTCAAGAACAACGCTTGCAAAACTAACTTTAAAACAAAAACATTTTCATCAGTGAAAATCATGAAATTGTAAAAAAAAAATGAACAGTAATTTTCAATTTGCTGGCGATATGAATTGGTACAAATTATGTTTTGAATCAGGCAGCATGTGACATATCTTTAGCACAGTACTGAGGAATTTAATTGTTTGACTCGCTTGTAAATAAAGTCAGACAAAAAAAACATTTCCTTGTTCATTAGATTAAACCTTCTAAATCACATTTTGGTTTTCCAAAAAAATCAGAACGCTTGACTGTAGCTGATGCTGTTTGCAATATTAGAAGGATTTACTTTTTTGCAAAAAAAAAACAAGATTTTTTTTTGTCTGGCCTAAGAATATTACAAATGATACAGATAAATTTGCATAACAAAAAATATGTCATTGTCCAAATAGGGGAGTTATGCGTCTAATTAACACTGTCTTGTGCATTTTACACTAAAGCAGCCAGCTCAAAACTTGTATCATATATTAGTTTTTCACCATTTAAGTAATGGAGGTAAAAAGGGCACTGATTTTTGAGCTCGAGGTGAAGAGTTTGCCCAAAATTGTTTTTATCATTTTATGTAAATAGTTTCAATGTTCAATGACTTTTCAATAGAATGTCTATCTTAGAACATACAGTGCAGTCTGAGTGCAACTTTCTACTCTGTGTTGGCACTCGTCTTTCCTCGCATTTTTCATGAAAACTTACAATATTTACAGTTAGTTTTTAGATATGGTAGTGTATAGAAAGAAATCTAAGCTAGCTCGAGGTCTGTTGAAAACTTGCTTCATGTAATGTTTTGCTTGCACTGTACTGTACTGTACACTTTATATCTATATCTATATACATATACATCTAAGTGAGTTTGATATGGGTTTCTATATATCTTTAATTATTGGAAAAAAAATATGGCTAAATCATTCCAGTTAACTTTTTGAATGCCAAGGTCAACATTTGTCACCTTTAACCTTCAAAATGGTTTTCAGATTTGTTTTCAAAAGTTTTAATCAAGGCATACTGTTGGTATGTCAATCTAGTTCAAAAATGTGCAAAATATGACACTAAAATGTTGGTGGCAAAACCTATGACATTCAAAAGATTACAGTATACGCAATGAGTAGAGTGAATTAAAGTATATTTTTCACAAATTATGTTCAGGTTAATGATCCAACACCTTTTAAAATTGATATATAGTTTATCTGCTTTTACTTTCATTGACATATCGCAGCAGCAGAATGACAACATCCCAAGTTAAGTTAAGATGCTGACTGGTTTGTTATGCACATCTCAAGATCAATGCTCTACTAGAACAAGGTGTAAAACGAACCTCAACAGGAGACATCAAAGTAATTCTGAGGGACACATTGCATATAAATAAAATAAGCAATTGCCTTTCAATTTATTTATTCAATCGAATAAATTGTGATATGATGATTGGCAAGTTATTCAAACGAAATGTATTTACTGAGGCAGTCTAAAACATCAGATCACAGTCGCTGGTGTGTCTAGTGAACACGTAATGCTGGCAAGTTCACATATTTAGCTGAACGGCACATGCTCATAAAAAATGCTTTGACTTAGTTGTAATCCTGTAATAATCTTCAGAAACAGATACCAAACCAGTCTGTAATTTTGCTGTTCAAAACAGTGGGGTTGTGAATTTAAAAGCAAAGCTGGGAATCATGAAATCATGTATTTTGTTACCCTTTATATATTTAATCATGTAAGTTTACTGTGAGGTATTAAGGTCAATTTACTTTTAAATGTTAAATAAACTACCACCTTCTCTCTTAAATATGATGTCCTTTTAGTTATTTCTGTTACAATTGGAACAGATGCATCTTTCCTTGTTGCAATTAACCGTTGCGATGGTTTTCCTAAAATGTTAATAGTTGTCAAGAAAGTAAATCGAATCACCACTATTTCATTTGGTGAAATTGTATGACCTGCGGTACAATGAGAATGTAATATTAATTCTTGATTTGGCTGTAATGTTTTTCCTAAAAACAGTATTCAACTTATTACTTGTAGTATTTCCCTGTGTTAAATAATACAAGACTTATATTAGATAGATTGCTTTGTGCAATTTATATATGATTTTGAAAGCAAATTGAGCCAACTAATCCTAGTTTAATGTTTAGTTACGCTTGCACTTAACTGTACAGTAACAGTGTGAGTTGTATCTTAGTGATCACATCACATGACTAGAATGTGAAATAAAGTTGTTACTGTGGGTCAGCAATAAAACCGATCATGAACTTAGAATGTTGCAAGGCCATGAAGTTTTTTTTGTCACAGGTGCAGTATGGGAGCCAGGAAGACGTATACATTGCATGCACAAATCAGTTTGGTCTTTGTATTGTTTCTTGTACCTCACAGGGTCTGACTAAAATTGGCAAATTAAAAAAAAAAGTTATGAGTTTGTGCCAGTTACTAGTTATGAAATAGCCTGTCAGAGTGTTCTTCCCAGTGCACTCTAGAACAGTCTGATGAATTCTATGTAAATACGTAGATGTCACAGAATTCTGTGTCTTTCCTGATTGGCTGTCTCTACAACTTCAGTACATTACCATGAGAACTCTCGTGCATAGACTGTCCTGTCCGCTCCAGACCGATTCACTAGTATATTATTCAGAGTCTCATGATAATAGACAACATAATTATTTTCTTACGAAAACTCAATGCCAGGAATCTTGAATGTACATAGCATGCGATTAAATACAGAAACAGCTTTCTGTTGTCTAGTTGTATCATCAACATTGCCTAGTCAGGCGTTTGTATTTGGGGCTTATGATAAAACCAAATGTCATACAATCACATCAACATTGCCTTGCCAGGCGTTTGCATTTGGGGCTTACGATAAAACCAAATGCTATACAATCACATCAACATCACCTTGCCAGGCGTTTGCATTTGGAGCTTACGATAAAACCAAAATGTCATACAATCACATCAACATTGCCTTGCCAGGCGTTTGCATTTGGGGCTTACAATAAAAACAAAATGCTATACAATCACATCAACATTCCTTGCCAGGCGTTTGTATTTGGGGCTTACAATAAAACAAAATGCTATACAATCACTCAAC